CCCACACCCACACCCACACCCAGCCCACACCCACACCCACATGCCCACGCCCACGCCCGCGCCAACGCCCACACGCACCCACCCCCACACGCCCACACGCCTGTGCACACGCCCGTGCACACTCCCGTGCACGCCCGTGCACACGCCCGTTCACACGCCCGTGCACTCACCCGCCCACACGCCCACACGCCCACATGCCCACACGCCCATACGCCCACACGCCCACACGCGCGCCCGCGCGCATGTGCGCGCGTCCACACACGCGCACAAGTGCCCATGTGCAGACGCGCACAGGCGCACAGGCGCACATGCGCAGACGTGCACACGCACACACGCGCACACACCCACACACCCACACGACGATCCCACGCGCACACGCACACGCACTCGCACACGTTTCGCTGCCATGATTCGTTTGACTCAGTTGGCACACGAGTAAAATTGTCATGTGGGGTTATCCGGTCCTTTATTTTGTCAGAAGAATGCTGTGCACCACAGCTTGCTTAGAGAAGTGTCTTGGCCACGGTACGGTTGCTACAGTCAGTATGTAGCACGCAGACCATTCTGCAATGATGCAACTGCGCGATGATGAGTTCTCTCCTCATGGCTAAGTCTGCTTTTCGCGCACTTTTGTAATCATGTCCACGCAGCAGTTGACGCTGTGGTAGAAGGCGGTAGAGCTCGGCGCGGCAGGTGATGATCGGAGTTATTTCGTCATAGTGTTCTATGAGCCTGCCAAGAAGAGCAAGGCCTGCCCATAGTTGGTGAGGATGCGAGGGACGGTGGCGATTGCTGTAAACTGAAATCATCTGATGCCTGCACTTCTGCTGGCTTTTCCCGTTTCGTCGGCGGTGGTCCTCGTCAACGTAAACTCGTCGAGTTCTTGCCTGAGCGCGCCTCTGCCGTTTCCGTTTGCTTGTCACTAGGTGGAGCGTGCCTTCAAGTCCGTGGGCGCAGCATTGGCGGACTACGAACAGGCCGGGCAGCAAGAAGTGGTGCCGGCAGCTTCACCTCTGAGTAGCTGCAGCTGTGCCAGGTCGTGGTTGATCCTGATTCCAAGATGGAGCAGGAGGCAGCACGGGTGTGTGGAAAATTGTGGACGCAAACTGAAGTTCGAAAATGTGGAAACGAGTTTTCTGGCAGGAGAAGTTCATGTTCGCACATGGGGCTGGCGATCCCGGTGAATGTATTCTGGGCGAGTCGGGCTCCCAATCATTCCGCATTCTTGCAGTTCCTGCGCATCGTGCTTCTCACTTATGGGCCTTGCCAGGTACGAATACCAAGTGGTGCCGAAAGGAAGTCCGGAGTACGACGACCCCTGGGGTCCAACACACCCAGAAGGCCACCTGATTGGACAGGGGCAGTATGGCGGGTCTTTGATTGTCGGTTCTCCAATGCCTCTGTCTCTGCAGAAGTTGCTGTGCGCTTGGAACTGGTCCCGGGAAGACACGTTACATTCAGTGTTTGTGCCTGGGTTTGTGTACCCTGATCCCTCAGTGTCAGGCAAGTTCTGGGAGTGACCACGTGCGAAGTGCCTCTCTAGGTGCGAGCTTGGCAGAGGGAGCGGTGTCTTCACCGCAACCCGTGCATTGCGAACGGACTAGTATCGAAGCCTAGTGCGGAAATGAAGGACCGCTCAAGCTCTGCGAGCATGCTACATGCACTGCAGGATCCTGCATGGCAAATCTGCCTGTGCAGTGTCCCGCTCTTCCACTCATTCCGCCCGTTGGGTGAGAGGGTTTTCGGAAAAAAAGGGTTCTCGAGACCTTGAAGTTCCTGTCAGCGCCTGCGGACCAGTCTTCTGTCTCCAAGTTGTCCGCTTTGTACTTGTGCAGCAGTTGGCTCAGTGGCACATGCGCGGCAAAGGGCCCCGCGCGGTCTGTGCCCAGGATGCCATGGCCTCGTTGCAGCTCATGTCACACAGAAGACCGGAAGCGTTCCAGTATGACCCAGGCGAGCTGCAGCGGGCGTTCTGGCTTTTGCGGCGGGGCCCTCGTGTTGTCGTATCGAATCGTGTCCAGATGGCAAGCCTTGCTCACTCACCAGTGATAAGTGACATGTAGTCGTTCATGCTTCCTGTGCGTGTGCGTGTGTGTGTGTGTGCAGCATCGAGGGTAGCGTTGTGTAATGGTGTTCTGATGTCAGGGCCCTTCACAGGCCTTCTACTTGCTGCCTGCCTGCAACGAGAGCAGTCATTTGTTGAATTCAGTGGGGCTTTGCCCCTTTGTCTAGCTTTGCACCATAATGATGCCACCATCTGCAGGCCAGGCGTTGCCCCCATCGAATATGCGGATGGGGGACGCGTGGAGTTGAAGGTGAACAAGCCCATGCCTCGTTCATTAATCCATCTCATCCTCTGTTCTGCGACCTGTGTTGACTGTTGTCCGAGGCTCACGTCTGTCAAGACGCAGCTGCCATATGGCTACTACACGCTGGGAGCCTAGAATCATTAAGAGCAGGACGGGGCTGTGTTCCCACGTCCCATGTCACAGCAAAGCCTGACAGTGCGGCCCTCTCTTGTCAGTCAGGCTGCCGTTCTGCAAGCCAGACAGCGTCGTAGAAAGCGTGGAGAACTTGGGTGAGATTCTGGCTCCTTGGACAGCACCAATAGACAGGCAGAGAGCTGGAAGGGGAGGGTGGGCGGGGGGAGGCTGTCATCGCTGAATGCTGTAGGCCCGTAGGATCCCGTAGGTCTCCAGCATGCAGCAGGCTTTCCTGCATCAGAGTTTGCGCTTGCAAGTACACTCTTCTTTCATGCGCAACAGTGCTTACTCACCTGCTACTGTGATGCGGCGTTTCAGTGTAGGCCGTTGTAATCTTTCTGGCTGGCCGCCTGTGCTCGGCACAGGACTGCAGTGTTTGATCCAAGGCTGGAGACCTCATCGAAAACTCGCCCTTCGACTTAAGGATGGGCTTTGGCCTCAACTCGGTCCAGTGGTGTCGTCTGAAGTGATGGACAGCACGAGACTGCTGGCAACGCAGTCAAATCTTTTGCCTGTGAGGTGAGAACGAGAAGTGTAAAATGCTCTGCAAAAAGCCTCTAGAAGCTGCCAGCGCCCCAGACATGTAGGAATGGGAGCCACCGCAGATATCACTGATCCTGAGACTCCGAGGCCTTGATTTCTGCCTTGCATGTGAACTCGAGCGCCAGGCAGACAAGGACAAATTCCGATCACGTATCGATGATGAGTATCTAGCCCCGACCTTAGAGACTTGCATTTGGGTCTTCTCGCGTTGGTTAAGTTTGTTTCAGGCTGCAGTGCGGCCAGTGCATGAAAATGCAATCTGGCTTGTCCTGTCCATGCGTTCCGCGAGCAGGTGAACTTCATCGTGGACAATCTCCCGGCCGCGAGCCCAAAGCATGTCAGCACACACACCCACTGTGTCAAAGGATGGTCGCACTCATCGCTGGTTTGTGTTACTCACATGCTGCTGGATTGCTTTGCGAAGTACCTGGCTGCATGTATGTGAAAGCGGCTCAGATTGCCGCAGCCGGAAATGAACCAATGAATGCATGTGCAAACCTCGGCAAACTGGAGGTCTTGACACGTGCAAGCACTGACTGGGGGTTGCTGCAACGGATGTGTGATGCACCAACAGCGACGATACGAGGATTCTGTAGGGTTGTTACGTTGAAGTCATCTCGGCAGGTACGTCAGGGTGATCAGCCCCGATATTGACGTTTGCTGTGGCCGCTTCGTTGGACCATCGCACACAGCAAACGGATGGCCCCCTTGCAAAGAGAAATGTGCACAGCGAGCAATTGGACTTGACTTCTTGAGAGCGACCTCCCTTATCCCATGACCTAGGACAGTTCACACACCCAAAAATCAGAGACGCAGTCAAGCGTCTGCATCCAGATTCTGTTGTTAGGCCGCCACGAAGTATGTTCGCAAAAGTGATGGCGGAGAATTTACGTGCCCGGCTTGGGGATCGCACGAGTCCATCCACCGTGCAACTGTACACGGATGCACTGCGGATGTTGAATGAGCTATGGGATTCCCCCTGGCATCCTGCTGCCTCTGGCACACAGGCTTTTGCAAGTCGAACCAGTTTCTAACGAGTTAGCAGGTGCTGCAAGCTCTGCAGGATCCAGTTCATGGTTCAGTGCGGAAGTCCTCAAGCCGAGTTCTGAAGCCTTTCGGCTCTATAAGATACAGATTTTTCAGTTGTCATGTTGAGGACAAGCAGTGCCTTCACAAAATTTCAAGCAGCACCAACAGGTGGTGGTGATAGAAACGGGGATTGCAGCATTTTAGACTTGAAGTCTTGTAGCTTGAAGCGGATTCTGTGGTCCAGCGATGGATGCAGGCACAAGCACGAGAGATACCGATGTCGACATTTTTGCTCTCAGATCCACCACTAGTGGAAGACACGGATCTAGTTTCAGGTGACCTGTGAAGCAGAACGTCAGAACCCCAATGTCCAACACTGTTGAACGACGTTGAGAGGTGAAGTCGGCCGCGAGAGTATTTCTGGCCGCCCTTCTCCAGATGGTTTGCCTGTCAGCGTGCGCTCCTGCCTGCAGCGGAATCATGCCGAATTGGAACAGGTTCTGTGTGCCTCGAGCAGCAAGTCATTCAGGCACCGAAATTGTGCAACCGGATTTTAGGCTGCAAACCAAAAGCAAGTCTGCGATGATGCCGGGATATCAGTGGGGCATCCATCAATGGAACATGGATTCCCCGCAAGTAGAAGTGGAACGAGGGTCCCCGACGCGACCAAGTCCCTTCTGTAGCGGGGACGTAAGGTGACTGGGTGGCGAAGTTTGCAGCTACACAAGATGCATGGCACCAGACGGAGGCGCTGCGGGATTCGGAGCCAAAAGAATTCAGGGGCTGTGTGGCTCTGCAGGTTGCAGTGCCGGATGAGCATGGCATCGCGCTGGTCCCTTGACGTGTGTCGACTGAGTGTCCGAACACATCTTCTCTTGGCGATGGGGGATGATGGTAGTTTAGCCATAGCTCAGTTTGTGGACTCCTGCCCTCCAGAATCACGGGCCTCTTTGCAGCCAGCGATCGCTTGAGTCGTCATGCGCTATGCATCCAAGGCAGAGCCGATTTTCGGGCCTAGGACTGACAGCGATGGTCGCAGCATCAGGCGGTGTCCCAAAAGGCACTTCCCTCCAAGTCTTGCAGGACTGGACGCAGCTTCGGACGCCCACCGAGGTGCACCCAAGGCCGGACCAGGGTAAGATGTTCGGGTTGAAGGAGTTCATGTCGCGCCGATTTCCTGTTCGTTGCCAGATGACGAGATGCCAGAAGATCCGGAGAAGGAGTCTCTGCGGGACGAGGTGCGGTGAATGTTGCAAGGAAATGCTCTCCTGAGCATTCAGCCCTTTGGATTGTTTCTCAGCCGTCCTGTGTGTTTCGTTCTGCCACTGTGTTTTGGGGGGTTCTACAGAAGGGCCGAGCTGCCTGTTGTGCCAGGATTCACGCTGGCTCGGTGCAGACTTCTCCGCAGCACCTGGGCAGAAGTCGCATCGAGAACCAGATTGATTGAGACAGTGGTACATGGCCAGGTCCAGGAATTATGTCCATCTGCCGCATGACAACTTCTGTGCTCACAGGGCTCGTAGTCGGGACAAGCGTGGTTAATTGGAGCTCCGGATGCAGGGCAAGAAGAGGATTGGGGGTAAAATAACGGGGTGCCAGCAATTGAGCCTCTGAGGCTTGCGCCAAGGCTGAAGATGAAGTTTGTTCGACGGACGGTTCCGAAGCTTGTCTCAAAGTCTCAGGGATGACTCATGCTATTCCGCGTGCTGAATACTTCTGGCTTCTAAGCTCCGGGATCTTCACCGCAACTGCAAAGGAAAACAGCCTGGACCAGATGCGAAAGACCGTTGCAGCCGCGAAGTTGTCCAAGAACGGCGGCTTGGTGGAACGACGGAGCAGCAAAGTGATGCAAGAAGGGACGAAGGAGCCGTGTGAGACCCCGCGAATCCCACCTTCGATACCGCACACCCGGGCTCACCCATGCATGATTCGGCTTGCTTCCCGAAAATCCCAGCTGCGGCACTCACTCCTCCCGACGCTCAGTCAGAACTTATGCCTACCCCCATTCGGGAGCCTGTTGCGGGGCCAAGTCAAAAGCCCGCAAAGCACCCACCGATACCAACGAAGCGATGGACTTCTCAGGCTCACGCGAGAGTGAGCACAGCTCGCGAATCATCTGGAAGCAGACGAACCAGTCCACCTGGAGCAGCTTGCCCTGGCTTTTTTCAAGAGACTCGGACATCTTTGAAGTCGGGTCGTAAATGCGAGGTTACCTGCAAGCAGTCAGCCGCGTGATCTTGCGCACGGCCCTCAGAGCTGAACATGAGTGAAGCTTCCAGAAGACTCGGATAGTCACGGAGAGTCGTCCTGAGGCCAGCGGGTTTTCGATGCTTTGTGTGGATCGATCATCATCCTGAACGCTGCCTTCATCGGAAGCTCGGCCGAGCTCAGAGGAGCTCAGGACCCTGGGATCTCCACTCCGTCCTTTGAGGTGCCCAGGTGGAGTATGAAGCCGTGAACCCTGGAGAACCAGAGCTGGGCTGGTGGCTGGCAGGGCAAGCCTTCTTTTGTCGCTGAGCGTGGAATCACTTTCCGTCTCTTCTGTTGTCCAGCGGTTCTGAAAGAAGGGCCAAAGACTGTACTCGGGCGGAGAGTAGCTTTTTCAAGGCGACGTCATAGTCATGGGTTTCAGACAGCAGCCATCCTAGGCTTTGCTTATGTCACCGAGCTCACTTTGCGATTCTTGACTTCTACTTGGAGTCGTCTTGCACCGTTGCAGTTAATGAGCCTTTTTGGCCGTGGTAGCGGCGTCAGATTGAGTCTCAAAGACTTTTCAGACTTCAGGAGTCGTTGGACAAGGCAAGAACTTCTTCGGCTCCTCGGACCGGATCTTCTGCCAATTTGTTGATGCTGATACAGAGAATGCGCGGTCTTCAAGTGTTTTGTCCTCGTGCGCCCAAGCAGGCTTGGAATATCAACAGTCACCCATAACTCTAGTACCCACGAATCTGCAGATGTTCTTTTCGAATCCCCTTTCGGACAAGCTTCCGTCGAAGTCTGGAAGCTGTCGGTTCGGAATTCAACTGGCCAGCTTCGTACTTCCTGCTTGTGTGAGTATTTCGGGTGTTGCTACGTTGACTTGAGCCTTCTGGTGTGGTGTTCATATTGTGCTTTTCGTTTCGGCAGTAATTTCTGCTTGTTGCTTACTGCTTGCATGTCTACGGCCTTTGGCGGTCGTAGAGTTTCTATTTTTAGGGCTTTTGGGTTGAGGGCGCTGGGGTGTACGCTTTAGGGTTTAAGGGGTTCCAAGGTTGCCGCAGCAGAGCTTAGGATTTCAGAATCAGGTGCTTCTGGTTTGGCATTGTGGGGTTTAGGGCTTGGGGTTTTGGGGTCGAGAGCTTCAGGGTTTCGGGTTGACTTGTGTAAGGTTCTGCACATCTTCTGCTACTCTAGTTTTGCAGTAAAGGGTTGCGGTGTTGGGGTGAAGCTTTTCGAGCTTCAGGGTTCAGGGTTCGATCCGCCGTCCTGCTTTCTACTGGCTTGTTTTGTTTTTTCTCTTGCTGCACCTGAGGCGTTGTCGATTGGAGGCAGCGATGCAGAGCATCACCATCCGGCACTGTTCTAATTTAGATGTAGTCGACCATAGGCATGTGCCATTCGGCTTAGCAATATTGAAAACTTACAGAAAGCCCAAGCTCGGTTGTTTGTTCCTCTGTCACTGTGGCTTATGTGTAGTAAAACGTGTGCTAGGGGTTGTTCGGGGCCCGAGCAGGTAGGCTTTCTTGCAGTTGGTGTGGGCATTAGGTTGAGGAGACTTTATGAAACGGCGGCGGTCGGGGTTGGGGGGACGAGGGATTAGGGTTTAGGGCTGGTTCGGGGTTCAGTGCATCTGTTTTGTGCAATTCGGAGGTGGTATCTGGTGCAAGGGTTCGCTGTCCACGAAAACTATCTCAACTGAGAAGGGGCGCTATAAAGTTATCCAATATGTGCAGTCGTGTAGTATCGCCAAATCAGACCACGATCCCTGTGACTGTTCTGTTGGCATTGTTGAGATATGATGAGATATGACGATGATATCAATGCCACGGCTTAATGTAGGAATCAGAAAGTTTGGGGTTAGTGACACGCGGTTAGGGTTCAATTCCAGTGCTTGGCTTCTGCTTGACTAGCATTTTGGGTTTTTCTCACGGTTTGTGTTGTTTCGGTTTCTTGTCAATCTTGTGATGGGGGTCAGCATTTTTTAATGCTATGGTTGGTTCGTTCAGGTATTTTAGGGCTCGGGCTTGCAGGTCGGCGTTTGGGCACCGCTTGGGCTGACTAGCTGGTTTGGGGTTATTGGTCAGGGCCAGGGTTTAGGGTTGAGTTTGGGGCCTGACAGGTTCAGCGTGCGGCTTGTGGCATATGGGCTAGGGTTCAGCAGTCAATCTTGCCTGTGCCTGAATTGTCCGAGGCCTAGTTTGCAGTTGAGCAGACCTCGGGTGAAAACGTGTTAGGTTTAGAACTTGGGACTGAACTTGGGTATATGATTTCACGGGGGCGAGCTTTGGAGGTCGCACTACTCAGTAGTCACTAGTCCCGAGCATGCAAATTTGCAAATGCGAGTACATGCATGTATGTGTGGCAGAAATATGCCGCATGCCAAATTTCTGCATGCAAGTATATGCATACCAATGGCAACGTTATTATTTCGGTGCCACTACACTTACTAATTAATATACATGTACATGAGCCAATGCCCAGCAACAGGAGTGCCAGTCGGAACACTCGCGCACATAGAGATGTGTTGTGTTTATGGTTTACATGACTGCGCAGTGCACATGTTGCGTAGATGTGGAATTTCAGAAGCTTTGAGAAGCTGCTGGCGATCCAAGCTGTTTGATGAAAAAAAGCATGCAGTAATCGCACTGCTAGTAGCACTAGTCAAGCCAATGCTCGTAGAATATTGTAAACCTTAGTACTAATAGTAGCAATTATTCTGTCACTCATTTTGTCTGCCAGTCACTACTAGCCCGCTACTGCTGTTAGATTGAAGCAAAACATACCACAAGCATGCCAAGTAGCATTCGACAAGAATCCTTCGCACCAAAAGTACCACATAGACCTGTGCGTGCAGACATGCATGCGCACAGATCTATGTGTGTGTGTATATGTCTCTATCTATCCATCCATCCATCCATCCCTCTATCTATCACACACACACATATATATATATATACATACATGTAAATTATATCTGTATAGTGTTGCCTGTGATGCACGTTATTTCGTCTATCAGTCTATGCGAATTTTCATGCGTATGCCAATGTATGCAGGTATCTAGACAGCTCTATCTATGCATGCAGCTGTATATGTAGATGTACTCTGGTAGGTGTGGGAAGATATACGATGCAGGTGGAACGTTTTTGACATTTTTGTGACGTTGACCTCCGTCGTGGATCTGTTGCCGCTGGGAACGGAAGATTATGATGCTGCCATCATGTTGCAGCAAGGCCATCGACCAGAGCTTAGGTTTTCGTTTCTCCTATCGGGCAGCGAGACTGGTGCCCTTGCTGCCGCGCGAATGCTGCGGATGTGCCATGCCAGGATTGAATCAGCTGAAGCACCGGGCCGCACCGGACCGGGTCGACGCCTGGTCAGAAGACTTACACAGCCAAGGATCCGAGTGGCGAAGATAATTCGCACCTCGTCGGCAGCGGTGTTGTGGGCCACTCCACAATGAATTGGACAGACGTGGACAAGTTGAATTCAACACTGAGGAGTTGTTCGCTATCTTCGCTATATGCGGAACATGCTTCTCTGCAGCCGATAGTTTAAATTGGTTTTAAGTTTCAAGCCATGCGGTGTGCCAAGGATCTTCACCTTGTTGCACACTCTCTCCTCTTTGGCATGGAGTCTGGACTTGCGCCTGCACTAGACCGAACCTCTCGTCAGCCTTCGTCTCCGCAAGGCTCAGGCGTTGCACGCTGTGAGGCACTGATGGCTATGATCATGTATCTCTTTGCTGTTGCGATTACCGAAGCGACGACTGCGTATAGAGTGCATCATGGTTGGTGCCTCAGGTTCAAGCCGGTTAGCGGATCCTTGAATCTGCACGATGGGTTTCTGTCCCGAGGTCAGGATTCGGAGTCCGTCAGGAAGCTCCTGAGGCCGCCAAGCAGAATTTAAACCCTTCACTTATCCTTGATCATCCGTCTTCAAGCCGTTTGTGGTGCACGGAATCTTGCTGGAACAGGTCGCAGTAAATCGCAACCATTGTCTCCAGTCGTCATGCGAAATCAAACAGCACACCCGGAGAACTGAAAATGTGCATGCCGCACTTCAGAGCAGATCCTTCGATGGAGCAGTTTGCCACAGCAGGCAGCAAAGGTTATTCTCGGCAGAGGTGTATCCGCCCGCAGATTGATCAGATCGATGTGTCTGTAAGAGTCTGTTGTGCCCCTCTGGTGGATAAGGGTGCACGCGGTTCTGTGCTTCTGCAGGCAAATGGGTCCGGGTGTTTGATAGTGTGAGCGGTCAGCAATGCGCACGATTGTCTCGAGCGAGTTTTGTTCGTCGGTGGGCCTCATCACATGAAGACGACACAGAAATGCATTGCAGAAGCAGCCTTGGGGCTTAGGTTCTGGGGCCACATCTCCAGCGTGCTGGCTGCAAGCACTTTCTCCAGTTGTTCTGCTGTTTGGTCAACCGTGCAGGTTCCATGTACACATTGCTGCTGTCCATCACCAGCGGGATCAGCTGGGTGGAGCCTGCCTCTGCGCACCTCGAAGAGACATGGAGACTCCAAGTCCTTCGAAGCAGCTTTCAAGTGGCATTGGGAGTATTCACATGACTTAGGCTCAGCCAGCTGCACTTTGTGTATCCTCCGCTCTTTGCGTCTCGGCGCGGCAGAGAACCTTCAAAACGCAGAGTCGATGTGCGATTGTGGAAAGGCTTGAAGTCCACATTGCGAGGTGCTATATATTTGTTTTATGTATTTCGCTATGATGAATGATGCTTGGCTGCAACTTCTGGTTTAGTTTGAGGTTGAAGTGCCTTGTATGCATTCACGGCCTCAGGCTCAGATTTTTTTTGGGATAGATGTCAGGTGTTAATCAGAGTTTTTATCCTTGCTTAGTAATGTCTAGTGATGGGGTTGTCCTGCCCGGAGTTGCCACTTTGTTGCAGTTGTGGTTGTGGTTAACGTAGTGGTTGTCGTTGTGGTTGTGGCTGTGGCTGTGGTTGTCGCGATCGCTGTGGTGGATCGTAACTGTGGTTGTGGCTGTTGTTCTGACTGTTGTTGTCGAAGTCGCTGGCGCTGTCGCTGTCGCTGTGGTTGTGATTCTCCTTGCGGTTGTGGTGGTGGTGATCGCTCGGTAGTTACTTCGGCCGAACAGAGCAGAGCAGATGTACACAAGGGTAGCTACATAAAGACATGGTGTCACACAAAACATACATGGATCGTCTATGTGGTTTTTTTTTATACGGAATTCCTGGGTTTCTATAAGGGTTCCTCTAAAGGCCCTATCTTTAACACTTGCAGTTCCGGGCTTCGTATATGACGATTAGAATGGGGTTTGGGATATCTTACGAATGATTATGAACATGTATATGTACCTATATATTTTCATTTACATTTGTATATGGTTATTTGTATATTCTGCTGTGCATGTACAGATTGCGCAAGGGCGATGAGGGGATAGTGAAACTAGTTTTGCAGTCCTCTATGATAGCTTTATTGCATGAACACTTTAATACTTTGGTCCGTTACTCTTGCAGAGGATTTAGGATTGAGGGTTTTGGAGGTTTACTCATGCAGCTTTCAACTCCTTACTGCCCGAAGCGCTGCCAATAATATGCAGGTCAGTGTATCTCCGCATATATGTGCATCTACGTACGTATCGGTATACCCACAATTGCACCGATAGGTGTAGTGTTGAACAGCCAGCCCACAAAAGATCAAAAGCATCAAACTTCAAGACTTGTGTTTTTCTGTGCTTTGAGCTTGGAACATCGGAGATCACAGGGACAACTTTCCGAGGATTCCCCAATGTTAAGGTTCCCAAAGCAGGGACAAGCATCACAACACATCGCACGTTTCAGATTTGACGTTTGTCTGTGCTTTGAACATGGAACATGTTGAACTGCACCGCGCAGAGTTTTGTTTTGAGCTGCATGCCGTAGTATTTTGACTTTATTTGATGCTGGGAAGACTTTGTTCTATCCCATGCCGATTGTAGATTTCTAAGCGCAGGTTCACTGGAGCAACAATCCAGGTGTTATCTGGTGTTCGCCTAGTGTAAGCCTTAGTAATGGGCAGTCTCATGTGGCTACGATTGGGGGCTAACATCAGGATCAAATTGCAATACAACACTTAGAAGTAGACACTTTGAAGACTTTGGGGTAACTAATAGCGTTGTGAAGAGAAGCTCCTCTTGGCAACTATTCATCCTTAGTGAATCGTTTGCAGCTGCCTTGACCTCTTGGCTTGCTTCTGCAGGGTTGTCTTCAGGTGTTGAACGTTGAGCCGTTGTCTGCCGGTGGTTGCTGTGGTCCTTGGAAGGGCATTGCTTGTGCTTTACCCGTTTCGGGGTATTTTGCATGCCAAAGTTCTATTCGTCTGACTAAAGCTAAGGTTTTTCTGTCTTAGGTACCTTCGGGCACACAGGGCCACACGATGGAGAAAATTTAGCATGTTTGGGGACACTACTGCGTCTCTTTGTTCTTGCCTTATCTGTACTCTTCTGGGTATGCCTGCGGTGATTCCGCAAGCGATAACTGCCGAGATTCGTCAAGTCCACTTGCCGAAAGCCGGTAAAGGTGTTAGGGCCCAAGATAATGCTGTTCGGGCTGATGCTCTCAGGTCTGTCAGTGTTTTGTCTGCCTGGTGGCGTCTCTGGGGTCGCGCCAGGCTCCGCAGTCGGTGCATGTCCGCTTGGATTTCGCACTGGTGGCCTGACGATTTTTATGGGGGTCGTCAAGGCGTCTCTACTTCCGATGCCCTACTTCCCATTTTGCAGTCTGTCGACGAGGGCTTTTATATAGGGTCGCTTGACTTTTCTTTGGCCTTCGACTCCACAAACCCTGTCATCCCGCTGCATGTTTTTCATCAGTTGGGCATGCCGGTTGGCATCGGCAATATGCTGTCTAGTGTTTGGTGCCATCAGGCACGTTTTCTCCAGCTGGCTGGTGACACCGATCCCAATCCTTGTTACGTTAGTGCTTCGTTGCCCCAAGGCGACGCGATGTCGATGCTTGGCCTTGCTGCCACCTTGCTGGGCCCACATCTTGATCTCAAGAGGCGTTTTCCCTCCTCGGTTTTTGCCACGTATGTGGATGATCGCACTTTTGCGTGTCCTTCTGCTGGCATTTGTGTTGATGTTGCCACTGCGTGGCACAACTGGAGTAACTTCGTTGCAATTCTTCCACCGTACTGTCTCTGGCAGACGTTGCCTCGT